AAAACAAGGCCGACATTAGGCGAACAGAGTCCAAACGTCCTGTTCCTTACGAGTACGCGCAGATGCGCACGAAGATTTTTGAGATGATTTTCACACCTAAACCATATTTCCACACGTATAGCATATTAATTTTTTTTCTGGGATGGAGGGGACTATCAGATGGCCTTCAATATTTTATAAAAACTTCTCTTTTCATTTCATTTCGGTGGAGGGGGGGCAGTCTTAATTTGAAACCACAGAAAAAAATTCAACAAAATTTAAAAGAAAACCTCGAATATTGTCGTCAAACGTGTTTCTTACGTTATCGGAAAGCAGTGCCGTGTAGTCAACTTCCGCTGTAAAATTCGCATAAAAAAATTCAAGACTTCCATACACAAATGTGTATCAAATTATCCGATATATCGAATTTTTTTTTTTGCAAATTCGATATATGCCGGTTGAGCTTCACTCACAAAAATTCGTAGGTTCGAGTAACGGCATTTTTGTCATCTGAGACAGTGGAACAGTTTACAATCTTCATGAGACTTTGTAGCGTCGCGCTATTTTTTGTCAGCTGCCACGCAAAAGAAGAAGAGCGCCGCGTGGCTCGTGATGCGCGAACCACGAGATAGATTATAACTATTTCTCGCGCCTGGAGGCTAGGACGCAGGCGGAAAATAAAGCGGCGAGATCAGCACGGCCACGTCGGCCGCTGACACGTCGTTTGCCTCTCGCTACAGCTTCATTGAAAGGCTTCCTTTGTAGTTTCACAATTCAATGGCACCTCGCATAATTAGTGTGCATCTGGGGCCGCGATCCCAAGTCTCTATTCGTGAGGGTCTGTCATCAATGGGCAGTGCTGTTTGGTTATTGTTTAGTTCACAACGAGGATTCACTGGCGTCTGCTCTTACACGCAGTTCTCTCTGAAAAGTCAGTTATTGCCCTGTGTGACTCTTTCTTCATTCATTAAAGAGCTTCGACGCTGACGTTTACGTCGACTATATACATAAAAAGAATCAAATCACACAATCATGAGGCGCTCTCTTAATGCTGCAACATATGTCACTCTGAAAGGCTTATCGATTAAGGGTTTTGGTGAAACACACACAAAAATGGATATTAGATGGTTTAAGACTTCCATGTTGTGTATATAGCCTTTGATTATGAGAACTTGCAAAGTGAGGTACGTGACGGTGAACAGGAGAAACGTAAATATTTCTAAATTACATTTAGTGATTTTATGTGATGTGTGAGCAACAAAAAATTTTTACCTTGCAAATGTCATCGGGGACTTTTACGTTGTAGGTGTAGTTGAAGAACAAAATGCCGGTGCCAGACCCTTTGACGTTGATTAATATCTTTTCTCCTGGTTCATTGATCTGGAACAAAATAGAAGAGTTACAATGAGCAAGTGTGGTGGTCTGAAAAAAAGGGGGGACATTTAACTAGCTGCGGACAAAACAATAAAGCTAGGGGCATGCAGTGAAGTTGAATTAGGTGGGTAACTGAAGTAAGAGGAGTGGCATGAGTGGCCGTATAGTGGTGAGTTGTGGGTGCAGTGAGTACTGGGAGTGTTGGGAAGAGTGGCGCATATCAGTAGTGGGAAATTAGTCGCATTTTGTGCGTAAACACCACGACGATCCACGATGATCCCCGGATATGAAAATTTCGACCAAAACTCCTTTGCTGTTAAACAAAGAACCGTTATAAAGTTATGTCCCCTGGCGCCGCATGTTCTAACAAATATTTTGATCTTTAGTTCTTGGCATTATTCACTGGCACGCACAAAATCTCGCCATCACCGTCTACGCATGATTAGCCCTTTAACGGGACGTATACAATGTGAAAAGAATAGAATCAAATGAAAATAAATTTAACGTATTATGCGCATGCCGTTCACAGTGGGAAGCAGTTCGGATAATATTGTTTTTTGCCTTGATAGGATATAACCCGGAGCATGCTGCTATCAAATAATGACGACGTTTCATCGCTTCCGTTGTAAAAAAAAAAAAAACATTCAGCAATCGTTATTCGTTGTTTGAATATAGATTGCATATTCTGTGGGTATTCCAAGCGAAACAAACTCGGACTCGTTAGTCTTGCCTATAGTGCACCGGTGACAGCTTTTTGCAGCTACTTGTCGCGTCAAAACGACTCACCTCGATTTTGTTAAGGATGGTGGCGTTGTCTCGCTTGATTCTTATGTGCTCCTTGAAATCACTGTTGTCACTTACGGTCACTTCACATGACAAGTCAAGGCGGTTATCTTTGGTGTAAGTTGCGTACTTGGCTAGTGCTTGGAGAGCCATAACAGTGTCCTTGGGAGATGGGTGAGGGGAAGAAATAAGAAAGAAAGCAGCTCACTGTCATTTAGCTACTGTGTGCAAAAATAAACCAATTCTCGTAGCGACCCCGCGAAAGGATATGTACAGCGAAACTGTTCAATACTATACAATTGCGCAGGAGTGCGGGATATTTTCTTAGTACAGCCACTAAAGCAAAAAAAAAATCCAGTTTTAATATGTGATGGTGCCTATATAGTTTGAATATTTGAAGGTCCCCTTGACAGTGTCTACTTTGGGACCTCCTGTATTATACGCATTTTATGTTTTACTGACAATGTATTACTGTATTGCATATTGAATTATTTGAGTATTGAATTATGAGTATAAGTCGAGATGTCATGTTTGAACTGACGACTAACGTGACAACGTTAAGACGTGAACGAAAAATTTCCACCAATTGTAGGTTATCGGATTTGCAATGAAAAAAAAAAACAGATACTTAAAGAGTACTGTGGTGTACTGTTGTGTACACGTATGAACAAACAAGTATTTGAATGCATCCGTTGTCAAACTCTACCATGTATCTTTCGCTGTGGCGATCGTTTCATAGTACTTTGTTGACAAGTATACTGAAGCAAACTAGGTGTAATTCATTTGTTGACGCAGCAGTGAGTGATACACTGGGTACATTTGTATATACCTCAGCTATCCATCAAACATGTGTGAAGTTAGGAGCACCTTTGAGGTTTTGAGAGATCCGCTGGGGCTAATCCTTTTGCTCAGCCACTGCACAAAACTAGTGACATAACCGACGTCTTTCCTTTTCTTTATGAACGTCATGATGGCGTAAGATGTCGCCTGAGCAGAGTAGACATCGCTGTGTCCTGGTACATGACGCTCACCTTTATCCGAAAAAGAAAAAAAAAGGCGCGGTAGTTAGGAAGAATTCTAACCACTGTCACCGTGCAGCAAAGAAAAGAAGATGTAAAGAAGTTTAAGTATGCAACAATGCAGGCAGTTCATTCATTCATTCATTCATTCATTCATTCATTGTGGGTATAACGTGAAGTACAAAACTTTCTATGCATAACGCATATGTTTGGAGGTATGAGGACTTGCAAATACCCACCTTTTATATATCTTTGTAATCCGCACTCGATTAATAATGTTCTAAAAAGTAGATTGCGAGCTCACATGATGAGTTCATATCCTGAAATATGCTACTTGCTATATTTAAAGCCAGCTAACACTGCTAAACATTTGGGCAATAAGTCCTGCTTATATCCCCAAGTCATCGCTTGTTATACCTCTCATCAACCGAAATACATAGTGCCCGGTCTTTACTTTTTTTTTGCTTAGAGTATTATTAATGTGTCTCTCTTGAAAAATGAAACTGTTAAAGCTGTCTCATTGACGGCCGTTTTTTTGCATTAGATATTATTAAAATAGCCAAAATAAGTTTTGTTCTTTAATGTTTTGTAACATCTGGACTTCTCTGTCGCGCAGAGCAAAAAATAATTTATTCGATAAAATAAATGGAGTAAGCGGTTGGGGTGAAATGAATGTGTGGCCATCCATCCTTCCCATAAGCTTGATACGAGGCTTGATAAGCAGCACGCTTTGGTTAAATAGACAGTGACTTCAATGAAAAACGGGGAAAACTGGGAAAACAGATGCTTGATAGGTGGAGCATCTCGCTGCCACCTGCCGGACATCAACATACGCTCACTGCTGCCGGCGTTGAGGGACCTATCCGTAGCAAGGGCTTCATGAACTGAATGAGAGACCTCTTCTCATCCGATGTTGTAAAGGGCAATGTGATTTAAATGGTGGCGCAACTTTCAAGAGCTCGACGGCAAGTTGCAGTGAATCGGATCGGCGCAAGTAAATCCGTACCAAATGAAATGTACAGTGTTGCTAAGTTTTGTATTGATGGAGTTTAACGAATTTTGTGGGTGGCCGTGTGACAGGGATATAATGTAAATAATGTACAGCGTAAACTGCAGGGAAATTCTGTCACTGAGCTTTTTCATGAAATCGCCTGAAAACTGCCAACTTTTTTTTTTCTTTAAATCAAAGCGTTTTTGGCGAACAAGAGCATCCGTTCACTTACGTGTTCGTGATATTTCGGCTTTTTCATGAAGTTCATACATACAAAAATTTCAAAGGCCTCTTTGTTAGGCGAACATATTCGACAGGATATAGCATTAAATAGAACAGACAAGAAAAGCAAGCAAATGCAATGGATGTTATTTTTAGTAATCATGCTGCAAACATGAGTATATAGCAAAGGGGACGAAAAGGTAACTTGCGCTTGCCGGGACTGAATTTGTGACCTTCGCACAAGGTGTCCGAGGCTCTTCATGTCATAACATGAGTATCATGATTTGCATGACACGTACGTCATGATTTGCACGGCGCGGAATTTTTGCTCTCACGGCTATTTGTCAGCTCCGTATATAAGCAAACTGACCTGGCATGATATGTATTACGAGCATAAAAGACAAGTCATTAAAAGACTGCCATATTCATCATGGCATACGTAACACGGTCTTGGTACTCTTACCTCCTTTTAATTAATTGGATATATGCCAGAAATCACATGCAGGGGTATGACACATATAAGTAACACTTCATGCATGGTATATGTACACTAGAACAGGGGTCGGCAATGTATTGTCTGCGGGTAGTATAATGCGTCCCCGGCATGACGTCTGAACTCTACCCCTTTTCATGTCACCTGTTATCTTAAACGGGCCCTGCAACACTTCTTGAGCATGGTCTGAAAACGCTGCCGATCGGTAGTAGAGGCTCCCGACAACACGCGAGCCAAATAATATAGCGCAGAACGTGGCCTGGAATTCACAATAAATAATCAAGGTCAGCTAAAAATCGCTTTCTCTTCTCTCGATAAATCACGTCATATGCCCAAAAATCACACGTCAGCGACCCATCTATCAGCCATTGGCTGATTTGAACATGGCGCGCTCGCTTGTTACAGAGATCGCCGCGGGAGACCACTACTTGTACACGCGTGCGCGCGGGATCAGGCTGAAAAAAAAACCGCGCATTGTAAGAAAAAAAAAAGAAAAAACTGCTCAAGGTCGCGAAGCGCAAATGACGTTTTTCTGTGCCCCTTTGCATCCCTCCCTGTTTAGCTTCCAGTGCTTTCGTCGGGACGAGAGAAGAGAATGCAATTGCAGCATGCGACAAACCTTTGTAACTCCACTCACACTGGACGGATTTTTAAAATTTTTGCGGCATTGAATTTGTAAGGCAATAAGCTCACCTAGCGAAATTATTTTGTGGTTACTTGAAAAAGTGTTGCAGGGTCACTTCAATGCTAACATTACAGTTTTTACCCCAAATAGATTTGCGCTTGTCACGTTTTTTGTAATTGTAAATTGCCAAAAACAAACGTGATTTAATATTTCGATTCTAGTTTTTTAGATTTCGCTCCATTCACCTGATCCCCCTGTTCATCTGCCGTGCGCCTCCGCGTGTTGGCTTCAAGCAACTCGGCGCTCCGCCTCCAGGTTGTGACCCTTATAATTGAATATAGGCTTCATTGGCATGGCATATACCAGAATGTACATGAATGCATGCATAACAAGCATGTCATAACGAATGACACCTCGTCACTTGAATAATTGATTGATTGATATGCGGGGTCTAACGTCCCAAACCTCATTGCGATTATGAGAGACGCCGTAGTAGAGGGCTCCGGAAATTTCGACCACCTGGGGTTCTTTAAGGCTCACCCAAATTAGAGCACAAATCCCGGCTGCGGTGGTTGCATTTTCGCCTCTATCGAAAATGCAGACGCCGCAGCAGGATTCGATCCCACGACCTGCGGGTGAGCAGCCGAATACCTCAGCCACAGACCACCCGTGGCGGGGCATCTCTTCACATGAATGCCTTCATTTGTTTCAAAGCAAACGAAAGCAGCGTGCGTAGCTTCACTGACTACTTCGCAATACATTGATTCCCACAGAGCGCGTAATCAGCCCGATTTTGTTTTGCATCTAGATAATACTGATTTTCATGGAGTGCTTATTTTTTGTTGCATGCAGTAACAGATTCCAGACACCGGCATCTCCTCACACGCATTAAATAATTTCCAACAATGTTTTGTGATCTCAACTACTTAGTAACTTATGGATCAGGCATACTACACAATTTTACATTGTCTCACTCTGAGGTTCTCCGTACCTTGGTCGTGGTGTACGCTTTCTTCAAGCCACTGGATAACGTTTTGCCCTTCCTGGGCTTTTGGCCAGCGATAAGGCGTAAGCGGCCAGAGCCAGTCCTCCGGGCGAGTCTCCTTGTCGTACATGTTGCTCCACAAACGAAGCTGCTCTCTGCTTTGAGCGTGCAGAAGCCTTGGAGGAAGAACGGGTGAGAAAATTGCGCTTAAGTCAAAACTGGTCTTTCGGAGCAAGCAGTCCATGTTGCTTGACTAGTGTTAGCCCCGAGAACGAACACTGGCGTCGCTGCTGTCACGGAGATGTGACGTCACCGCAAGGGCTGGCCTGCTACACCATCGCTTTTTGCCCTTTTTCACACCCACTCTTTAGTGACGGAGTAATCGTTACTGGTCAATTTGACGATTACTAGGTGGAAGGTTCCATGAGAAGTGAAACTTATCGAAGCTGTAGAAAGTTCTTATAGTGTAGCTTAGGATATGAAAACTCCTGTGTGAAGGAAAGATGCAATCTGAAAATTGTGATGCAAGACAGCAAGACATTTTTTCCCCATTACGTACACCAACAAATCAAAGCAATGAAAATATCCTAAGTGGTGTTAACTTCAATACAACTATAGGCATAGACTAAGGAACAAATGTGCTGAAATATTACAAATGGAATTTGTGTGTTTTCCATTCATTAACTGCGTTGTGGTTTACCCTAAATGTTACGACTGCGTCGGCAAAACCTGACCGAATGGAACTTTCTCGCACTGGAGACTTCACACGAATCTGCCTGTTTGAAACAATTACTTAACATATTCGAAAAATTACGCAGTGTTATGCGCCCTCACACACAAAGATTTCACACAGTGACGTGGCTCACGTAATAATTAGATATCCATCGCCTCACTGAGGCGATGACTTGTATCACACGTCATGTCTACCCACAGGTTGATACTCAATGGGAAAATACTGAAAGGAAAATGAATTTAGAAAGTGGCTGTCTAAACTGGTACTTATGAGCACGCAGCAGCTACGATGCTGTACGGTGACACATTCTGACAGCAATAAGAATATTTGCACTTCACCTCAAACACACTCCGTCAACCTAACCTCAATAATTTCGGCGAAATGAATTACTAAAATTATGGCGGAAAAAACGTGACACAAAAGATCAGGCATGATCGAGCAAGCATACGAAATAAATAAAAACTGACACAACATGTGCGATGGTATTCTAGGGCGTGTGCATTCGAGATATTGTGCGAGACTCGATACTGAACGCATGTGCGGTGCGTGGCACTACCGTCAATAACGCAGTCCGTAGACACGCGGATGCGTTCGAGACAATAACTCCACTGCAGGCGAAAGCCCTATATATTCTTTAAAACACCCGTGAACAGCTTGACCTAATGATGTGGACATGGTGTTCTGCGGGTCCAAACACAACATGATTATTCGGGAATAATTTCGCTGTATCCAAGTAGAAGAGTGTTGCTCTCCCCCTCCCGTCGGCTGCCGATGCCGTGAGTGAAACCCATCCTTAGCAGTGTGACACGAACTTGATTTTAAATTTAGTACTACCGAGCGGGGGCACCGTTCACAGTAACAAATGCAAAGTTTTTTATTCTCTTACCAGGAACATTATCGATACTGTTTTCGTTATTCATCTGTAGCCTGAGGTAAGCAAAAAAAGCGAATGCAAACAATGGAATTGCGTACTAAGCGAACGCATGTTATGTAGGCGCGCAACGGTGGCCAGTGAAGAGCTCTTGTCGTGACGTCAGTCAGGCATCCCACCAGGCGGCGCCACTTCAACTTCTCGGGGCCAATAGGTAGTAGAAAGTGGCCGCATAGTTTCACAACTGTAATGCGACATGGTTTAGATTACCATGGGATGACACACAAGGTCTGCGCGCAGTCATCACAAGGAAGACCTAGTCAGCCTGTCGGTATAAAACATCAGGATTAAATTATTTGTTTCGTATCTCCTTCAGGCGCTGTTTGAACCTCTAGGGCGCTGCGCGAAGTTACCAGGATTTCTAAGTAAATGAGGCAGCACGCTAAACTTTTCTTGGTCTCTTCTTCATGAAAAAGTCGTACAGTATCAGGCCGATGCAGCACACCTATCAACTTAGAACTTTTGAGCCGTCATAATATTTTGTATCTACTAAACAATGACTACCAAACTCTTTGTGATATTGCGTGTGACTTCAGTAAGGAAAGCAGGAAAGTAAAAACGACATATTTTACCATACTTGCGTTAGTTAGTATTGTAGCGGAACCAGTGAGTACAATTTCAGAAGCGAGCGAGAAAGAAAAATGAAGAGGAAAGGCAGGGAAGTTAACCAAGCTTTAGCTCAGTTGGCTGCTCTATACATGGGTGGGAGCAAAGGGAAGTAATAGATAACATAGAGAAGAAAAGACTAAGCAAAAGACGAAACTGAACAGTTAGTGTAAACACACACTACACGAACTCGCGCTGGTAGTTCACAGACGCTCATCAAGTCCGATCATTTTCAAGTAGCACAATAGGGCTTTCGTTTCCTTCTGCTTGTACTAAACCTTGTGGCAAGATCTGAGGATCTCCCTGCCTGATTGTGAATTTGCATCAATGCGATAGAGTTTGGCTCTTCGAACACTTAGTCGAGTCTGGTAGCATTCCTCGAGTCAGTACAGTTTAGCTCTTCAGCCAAGCATTGCATCACCGAAAGAGCTAAGCAACGAGGCTCGTATCAACAAAGTTCTTGCGTTACATTGAATTTTAGAGATTGTGACGGTAACTAATTTTATTGGCTGGACCTATCAGTTTGCCAGGACGACTTTTAAATGACAAGCTGTTCTCAGATAAGTTTTAATTGCATTCAGCCCCAGGTGCTTTCCGTTTCACAAACGTACGCATATCTCTGACGACGACGAAGTGCTTCTTTCATAGAACACTTGTACTTGTGTCTCAAATTTTCTATTTGTTTTTATGCAAATTCTGGGAGCTACCACACTCTCCTTGCGAGAATGGATGAAGAAGCCTCTCAGGGCCTTCGCGGTGGACAACCACTACGTCTGGCAGCGGCTAGGACACGCGGTACCACCTCAAGCGGCACAGACAGAGTCATCGGATGACGACTACACAGTCGTCCTGAGCCGCAATGCAAAAGGAGACAGCTACGAACATCGTCGGCGGCGAGTGTATCCACCGTGCAGGCTACCCAGCGGCGTTGGCCGCACACTATACTCTTCATGGCCGTTGACCCTTCGGCCAACATACGACTGCTCAACAGGCAAGTACTCTCTGCATATCTCGAAGGACTCGCGCCAAATGAGAATTAAAGGCGTCAAGATTAACTCACGGAAGAATGTTCTGGCAGTTTATGTTCTACACCGTAGTGCGCTGCAAAGCCTACATAACATCACGAAAATGGACATAGTCAAAGCTAAATCAGTGATCCCACAGGCTGTAACAGCAGTGTTAGCGTCATTTATGACGTGGACATTTCCACCCCCACTGACGATTTCCCTATCTTGATAAAGCCAAATACAGACGACATCCTCATCTGGCACATTGCAAGGCTCGGTCATTTCCGTTGCCTGAAGCTTGTTTTTGAGCGAGACAGTCTTCCACCACACGTAAAAGTTGTCCAAGTTCGCCACCAGGTCCGTCCATACATATACCAAAGCCCCAACAATGCTACAGATATTTCAAGATGGGACACGTAAAAGAAGTCTGTACTAGCATTGTTGTGTGCCCGAGGGGTGCTGAACCTCATTAAGAAAACATCTGCCACGCAACTGTGTTCAAATGCTCCAACTGCCACGGCGCTCATAAAGCGTCGTCTAAAGATTGCTCGCGAGTGCGGATTGAAGTGCTCGGTGCCCAAACGAATGGTGCGCGACAATTCACCGCACAGAGAAGCCGCTGCTACTGTCAGGCGATTTCAGCATCGCCACAAAATATCATCATAAAACGTGGTATCTTCCGATAGAGACACGGCATATTCCGCAAAAACAACTGGCCACTGATCATAAAGCTCCTGCGAAGACGGATACATCGAAAACAAAAGCAAGGCCAACATTCCCACCTTGTGAAACGTGGCCTTCACTTTCACGAACACAGTCTGATTCAGAGGTATATCGAATCCCGCCAGCCTCGGTGCCCTCACGAACCACTGATGCAAAGACGACTGAGAACCGCCAGGTCATTAACATGTTCGAAACCCTAATGAGCGCAATGCACATGCTCCTAAGCAACATGAACAGTCCTTCAGTGCAAAGCGCACCGCAGGTGCTGGACACTTTGAGTACGGCGCTTGCAGCTCTATGGTAAAACTATGGCCCGTGACATGCTATCCTTTAGAGAGGAGGTCAAGAAAGCATCTGTACTTGAGTGGGATGCCAGAGGGCCTAGGGCGTGTATGTCCGACATCCGGCAATGTGTATTCACGAGCCAGTTCTCCATAATTGTGATTTGGGAGCCGAACCTGTCAGCTCACATCAGACTGTCAAGATATGAGTGCTTTATGTCTTCTACCCACGGAGAGCGCAGCAAGGTTTTTTGTGTTCATATGGCGTGTCTTCACTTATGTTCATTACCCTGTACCACCTGACGAAAAAACCAGTATGGTTGCCTAACAGCAAAAAAAACACAAGATCACATTCACAATCATTGGAGCCTACTTATATCTATCAAGTCATCTAGACCGCGAGCACTTGCGCGGAATTTTGAATAACTGGCGATTTCAACGCCCACCACTACTTGTGGGGAAGCTCCAGGGTCCACACTAGAGGTAGACAGTTAGTGTCTTTTGATTCTGAGTGTGGACTTAGCCTCGTGATTGATGGTAGCCCTACTTATCTGCGTGGATCAGTCTATAGTAGTTGCCTGGAGATCACTTTCGTCTCACTCTTGTTCGCCAAAAGAGTACATTTGTTTTAGGATTTGGAAAGAAGGGGGTAGTGACCACATCCCAACATACCTGAAGATTGACGGCTGAAGATTGAAGTCTGAAGTCTCACAGAGCTGTCCAGTGCACCGATTGGCAAAAATACAAGTTAATCATGAAAGACTCTATTGGCGACTCACCCTTCAACCTAGAGGACGCGATAAAGAGTTCTCTACAGCCCACCACGCGTTTGCTTTCGGTGAGCTCACCACACAGTGATATGAACATTGAACTCGAGAAACTTCGAGCAATTCGTCGTCGTGCAGAACGACGTTAATAGAATGCACGAAGTCTTTTGATGATATGAGAGTGGCCAGACGCACACAAAAGAAAATACAGCGTCACTGGGACAAGGCGGATAAGTGACGATGGTATCTTTTAGCGAGTCCTTGAATCCAAGAAAGTCTCTGTCACTAATCTGGAGAACTGTCTGGGGTCTTCGCATAACCACTGCTCAGCGCTACCCATTTAAATCTCTGGCACTTCACTACGCTGCGGAGGAATTTACATCGCAGAATCTTTCTGCCGAAGGCTTGCCTGTGGGGCAAATTCAACTGGGACGAGGTTGCCCGACTGTTCTGTATCCTCATGTAGAGCCTACCTGTAATATCTAACACGTGCAAACCTAACCTGTCCACACACCAAATCATTCAAGCCCATGCTCTTAGGATATGCCTTTGTTTACCGCGCTGTGCATCGACGGCTGAAACCATTGCCATCACACAGGACTACCTGATCATGACGCACATCACCATTGAAACGATGCGTACGTACCTCAGGCAACATGCTAGGAACCCTTCTCACCACTTGGTGAGCCTCGCTACAGAGAGGTCCCGAACAAAATTTTAGTGGAATTATCTGTGCGCATCATGCATAGTTTACATCAGGTTTTACGCCTGCGGAGAAATCAGTGTATCCTCTGTGGTGGCCGACTCTTCCAAAAATACGTCTTACAATTCCAGGAATACAGAAAAAAATCACATTTGCCTTCGTCAGCCCTAAAACAATTGAGCCTGCACCTCTTGCACGAAGTGCACCATAATTACGTGCTCATATACACCGATGGTTCAATGAAAGCGTGTAGTTCTGGCGGTGCGGCGGTTGTACCAGTTACAAGAATCACCCTGCGATTCAATCTGTCAGACATCACTACGTCTACAGTGGCAGAACTTTCGGCTTTGCGTGCCGCCCTAGAGTACATCACATCCCAGAGACCGAGTAAATGGGTTGTGTTTTCCGACTCAAAACCGGCCTTACAGAGCATGCAGCCAGTACTTCGACACTTAACGTACGGGGTTATCAAGCTTCTTCACCATGTCACAGAAATAGGTCACGGGGTCAATTTTTAGTGGCTGCCTGGTCCTTGTGGCATCAGTGGCAATGATTCCACTGACAACGCGGCTTGCACATCCCACCAGGAAGAGCACAACCTTCCGATTCCTTTGTCAAAAACAGACGCTGCATAGCAACTTCGTCACCTGGCACGTAGTATGTGTCTCCCGTAGTGGAACACCCCAAGCATAAGACATACAAGACTCCACCAAATAAACCCTCGAATAGAACTTCAACCTCCATCCGAACTTTGTCGACGTGAAGCTTCGCTTCTTTGGCAGCTTTGGTTGGGGGTTGCTACAAAAGCGTATGCAACCCTCATTGGATTGACCGACAGTGCGGAATGCGATGTCTGTGGCACCGAAGACATCAACCATCTGCTATGCCGTTGCTCTGAATTTGCCTCTGATAGACAAAAGATTTCTAACGCATAGCGAGAATTAGACAATGGACCACTCTCTGTGAAGATGCTACTGGAGCATCGTCCTCGTCCTTCGTCGGCTGAAAAGGCAGTCAAAGCCATCTTGCGCTTTTTTGAGGACTACAGGCCTATGTGAATGCCTTTATCTTTTGTATAGTGCTACCGCTGCATGCGCGTCAGCCCAATTGAATGAAAATACTTTTGTCTCTTTCTCTTCTTTTTCCTTTCTCTCTCTCATCTTTCTAGTCCCCCTTTCCATTCCCTCAGCATAGTGTAGCGAACCTAGGCATGCGCCTGGTTAACCTCCCTTGCTGTCTCTGTTGTTCTTGTCCTTCCTTACTATACATATCTCTAGTGCCAAGTAATGTAGAGGACAATTAGTTTTGTACCATACCTTGGACGTTCGCCAGGAGTTCTACTACATCACTTTGTAGTTAGTGAGGTATTAAGTCGTTCGAAAAGTCTGCTTTGAACTTTCATAATGTTATCCTCATTAAACTTACCTTAAAGCCGTTCTCATCACACTCCTGAAGGGTGATGAGCATATAGGCCTGTCAGTGCTGTTGGGTGGTCCAAGTCTCCCTGAATATTCGAGGTTTTAACAACAGTTGTACAGTTAGTGTCCATACACAATGAAGTAAGTGCAGTGTAGGAAGAAAAGTAGCGCAGTATTGATTTCCAAAGCAATATTTAGCACTTTGTACCACTTGCCATATTTCCTCTGAAAATTGTTCTGATCGTGTCTATGAGCACTACGAAAACATTACACATGTAAACAACCCTTACTATACTCTTCAAAACGAGAAATTCCAAGAGTAATAAAGATTGATAACTTTATGAAGCAGATAACACCTCGGTGTTATTCAAGAAATGTTCCTTCAGGTTCTGCTTCTTCAGCTCAGCTCATTACATTAGTCCTCACCTGAAAAGAACACTTCCTGCCAGATTAAGGTTGCCTCTCCTGACCTTTTTTTCTTAGCTTATCAAAAAGAGTCAAGGTACAAAGAAGAGTACTTGACTGCTTATTTCGCGTTTCACAATAAAGAAGGGATAATTTTTGGAGGTTGTTTCTTCGTCTGACACAACTGTTAATGAAGATCAATAGTTATTGAAACTAAGAAATTATAGAAGACACTAATTGCACTGTTTTAGGTGTATTGTAGTATTTGTATTATAAATTCGAAACACGTAAAGGGAACAAAAAGAGAACTTGCCACGGGCAGGCACCAAACCTGCAACCAAGACGGACTCAATCTGTACGAACCACTAGCATACTGTGCCACCTTCGTTCTCCATCAGTGAACTCTCCATTTGCTCCCTGCTTACGGGCAATGTAGCTCAGCCCGCTGGTAATAACCGCTTCGTCAACCATGATGACTTTGGTTGCTTGGCACAAAGTACGAATGACGTATGCGGTGAGCCTGTAAAAATGACAGTCGAAATCTGGGGCATCTCTGGCTGGATGTTAAAGAAAGGTCTCACGCTAGAATTGCTTTTATCAGGTTTTCGTTGTTGAATTGTGATACGCGATGCCTGTCGGTGAAGGGCAATACGCATTTATAAGTGAAAATTTTGTGGACTCTGTCCCTGTTTAGGAAATAAATAAATAAATAAATAAATAAATAAATAAATAAATAAATAAATAAATAAATAAATAAATAATTAACATATAAATAAATACTATTTCTACATTTACGAGTTTTTCCACGTCATATTGTGTCCCACATCTGGTGGTACAAAGGAACGCGGGAATCGCAAAGTACACTAGATTCAGCAAGATTGAGATATTGAGCGTAAGCGTGACGCAGCTGCAGCAGAACGATTTTACCAAGCTTCGCGATGATGAAAAGAATATTACCTCGAAGAAACCATGAGCTCGAACACACAAGCTCATTAATCTCCTAATTTCTGCCGCATGAGCAGGCATGGCCACATCGGCGACGAAACAGTCGTGTTAGCGTAGGCAGCCCTCGGTCACGCTGGTGTTCGCCAACTCTTCCGAGGTGCGCTGACACGCATGAGCGCGCGCCGCGTCTGTTCTATGTTTCAGCTATGGCGCAGTCACGGACGTGCTGGATCGCTAGCAGCGCAGCGTTTCAGTGTTATGCGATCTATGAAGCCACGGCCGAGCTTGGCAACAGCATTCCAGTGTACGCCACTATGGTATAGCGGGGTGCTCGGCTGCTAACCCGAAGGCCGTGGTTTCGATTTCTCGACTTGCATGAAAGACGCGTTCGATGGCAACACCGGCGTCCGCCGCGTGTCTTATTTTTGGCTGTTTTCACTATTATTTGTTGGCGTACCGTAGCCGCGTTCTCCGACTAAGTGTAATGTTCACTGTTCGGAAAATACATCATTTAGATATAGAAATTATCTCTATCTAAGGAACTCTCAAAAGGACACTTATTGCTTTTGGCCTTCACTCGTATGGCCTAGCTACCACCACATGAATATTGCACGCTACCTGTAGCGTCAAGCCAATAGAGAATGAACGGCATTTGTCATTACTACCACATGACATGACGTCACTTTTCATGACAAAAATAGACAACGTGGGCCACCGTAGTGCGAAATCAAGGTAGTTTGTCCCGTCCATTAAAGTACAGCAGCTTTGATTTCGGTGTTGCCACTTGCGCAACAATATTGGTGAATTCCACAGCACTAGAACAACCGATGAAAAAGACATGCTCGAATTGCGTCACAGGGCTCCTTTAAAGGGAACCTGCAACACTTTTTCAAGTAGCCATGCAATGGCTGCACTAAAGAAGCTTCTTGTCTGACGATCACCGCGGCAAATTTTTTTAGAATCCATCCAGTACGACTAGAGTACCAAAGATTTGCTGCACGCTGCAATCGCATTCTCTCTTTTCCCGTCTTTTCCCAACAAAATCAATCGAAGCTAAACAGAAAGGAATGCTATGGGCAAAGAAAATACGTCACGCGTGCCTTAAGAAATATGTACTCAATGTCACGATCGTGACCTTGAGCACATATTTCTTTTTTCTTTTGGAATACGCAGCCTTTCCAGTGTGCCGCGCTGGCACACGTGGTGAAGTCCCAGCCTCCCGCGGCGATCCCTGTAATGACCGAGCGCACCATGTTCAAATCAGCCAGAGGCTGATAGCATGGCTGTGACGAGTTGTTTTTGAGATTCTTCCGTCATTTGTCGAGAGAAGATAAATTGATTTTTAGCTGACTGAGATTTTATTTTGAACTACAGGGCGTGTGCTGACACTACCGTATCTGGCTTGCGTGTTCTCGCAAGCCTCTACTACCAATCAGCAGTGTCTTCTTACCATGCTAAAATTGTGTTGCAGAGTCCTTGAAAAGAACACCAGTGGGTTAAAGTTTTCGGAGCCCTCCTTTATGAAAGCTTTTTGCTGGGCTAGTTGACGTATAGCTATAATACAGGAAGGAGGCGCAACATGGGACAAAGACGGCTAACCACCTCTGGAATGGTTGTCGTCAGCGCGCTTGGTGACAGCCAAGAGCAGTGCCGAAACACCACTGGCACTCCAGCATGGTCGATGAACTTACAACCAATAATAAAAAAAGAGGGGAGACGCGACACGCTTGTTTGCATTTCCCTCCTTTCCGGCGTGAACGGGGTTTTAGTGTGAGCAATGCTTAATAGTATTCGCATGCAAGAGTCGTTTCCTTGAGGGGTTCATAAAGGCACGTTTACACTAGAGCAACATGACACTAATTTTAAGTCTGCTGATTGTCTTTAGTAGCGTCTTTTGTTTTGTCTTGTGACCGTTATATTTACACTGAAACGACGCCAACAGTTTGCCGGTGGTTCGGGAAAAACTTCGTCTGCGCCTTATTGTAATGACAGCCTTTCGTCGGCCAATTCTCTAGTCGCACTAGAGGCAAACGCAGCGTCACTGAATGAACTTGCAAGATGAAATTGAAACAGAGGTACCACCTGCTATTCATTTTCAGTCGAGCTCCCTGCTTCTGTCATTGTTCCTTAGGGCTACGTGATGCAGCCCCCGCCATCCTCCAACAACATGGGAAATTCTCGCTCGGCCACTGATCTCCCGATAGCTGCTGCACTACAAGTCTGTCTATGAGTTTTGATAGAGTTGTTAGTCTGCCATCACGTTGCACTACGACGACATGCTGTCTTTTGAGGCATCGCCGTAGTCGTCGGCCTGGTGTGAGCAGATGGTCCGGTGACTTCGACGGCCTCAGGTCTGTGTCGTGTCGCTCTAGCGGAAACGTGCCTTAATAACATAACTGCGGTTCTTACCACAAAGTCGATGGTAGATGCGTAAAAATGCTGAAGGAACCGTCTGATTTTCGGTACTGGAGTATTGTACTGTACGCTAGAAGAAAAAGAAAAGAAGTCATTACGTTTTAAGCGATTCGCGAGAACGTTTCCAGCAGAACAAATATCATGAAGGCCGCAGCTTGTGCAGTTATTAATATACAAGGTCAGCTAATAATCAACTGTAATATTTGGAAACACCAACCAAAGGTTAGCCTAAATTAAAACCGCACACCGGGCTCGAATGTTTCTTAAAGACAAAGGCTCGCAAATGCACACACAGAACCTATTCAATATCTCCAAAAGATACAGCAAGAATTATCTGAAAGTAAATGAAAATCGAGATCACAGAGGTGAAACAATAAAAAAGTAAAACAATCACACCGATAAATGAAACACGAACATACAACTAATTTACTCGTTGACCCTTTCTTCCTTTTTATCCTGTTGGATTCTAATATTGAATTCAATAACTATGCAAAATGAAAAAAAAATCTTTCTCTGCGAAGAGAGGCTGCATGTTTCACTGCAAATGTCGTCGAAAGACGATAGTCTTGCGTGTGGAGAGAGTGAACAAAGCCTTTATTTGATGTTCTGCGCGAGAAAATTGGTGAATTGTAATCTGGAGGCGCTGCGTGCTGCGATCCGTGCAGCGAAGGCAAACGAGCGCATCGAGGCATGTGAAACGCGAGTGCTATTTGGCAGTTATCTTCGAAAACAAAGGAAGGCGTGCGCACCCACGGAGAAAGATGCGCACCTGTCTCGTAGGCCATATGGTGTAGAACGCAAAGTGACGGGCAGGTGCCACCGTGTCGTCTTAGCAAAATGTTGAAAACACTTGCCTTTTTGAGCATCACGTTGCACTGTCAGTGCAGCGTGATAAACGGAATGGTCCTTAGAATTACTTGTTTGTGCCTTCTCTAGTATAAAGCCACACATAGAAAATGTTGATGTATTGCAATGGTGCTTCACATATGCGCAATAATTGCTTTTTAATTGACAATCGCTGAAGTATGAACGCTGAAACTTGAGCAATATTGAAGGGCGCTGCGGATGGTATTGACCGTTTGGCGTATCGCTTGGTGCCGTTTGGGATATCGTTACGGCAGACAAACAGATAAGTGTACAGACAGACAGACAGACATACATACAGAAAGACAGACAGACAGAAAGACCCAAATTTTTGCGTCGAAGTACCCCAAGAAAGACTATAGTCTTTAAAACGTGTGACCCATTCCACTCTGTGAAGGTTTATGAACACGAAGCTGTTTGGCAGAGGTGTCATGGCTAAAGCCAGTTTGGTAAAAGGCCATGTTCTTAACGTGCCCTACAGTGTTTCAACCACTGTGGAGAGTATATCGCGACACACGGGCAACGACATCGCCCTCGAGGGGCGCATTAAAGGGACCCTGAAACGGGTTCTGAAACTTTCTCAACGTTAACATCGTTATCATATCTCTCACACCATAAACTAAGCGAAACATCTTGTATCAAGGCATCTATGGGCGATTATATATCACCCTACTTATCAGCATTGTCTCTCTTCAAGTCCTCTAACGTGCAGACGTCACTCTGCACGGAAGCTGACTCGATGAATTGGGCACCGCTGCCAACTCCATGGCCCGAGCGGCGCGCCGCGAGACAGCGGAGACGAAGCAGATCGCGGAATGGTTGACATCGGATCTGCCAGGTGTGGCAACATTACCAACCGTTCTGGGGTTGCTGCATATGCTACCTAAAGGTCGCAGACACAGCAACTTTAAACCCCTTCTGACCCGTTCTTATTCTATTCTCCTGTTCACGGGCAATCGGCCTGGCGCGCCGCAGGCAGCGTGGCGTCATTTCGTGAAGAAGGCGGCCATACTATCAAAACTGGACGATAATCTGGCGCTGCGATCGTCCAACCACCACTGGAATGATGAAAATTACAGGCTTCGGTTCATAGTGCGTTAGTTATCGAACTGTCTACAAGTATTGTTCAACAGTTTCATTTCCCGCTCAGCCCCGCTCCTTCATCGCCCAGTTTCATTCGCCGCTCAGCAGTCAAGCAGCAGCTGTATCTTGTCGCAATGCGTATATACGGTGTTCTCTGGCGTGGATATATACGGGTTGCATGGGGTGCCGCGCAATGGTTTGAAGCTGTGTAAAGCGGTTGAAGCGCACTAAGTCTCCTCGTTTGTGGTGATGTTACTGCTTTACAAGTTCTGCAAATCCTCACTGATGCACCACTGCGGACGTATGTAGCGCCCCGAAGTTAGTGCAGGGAAACTCATCGATTTTTCTCCCTTCTTTTCCATGAGCTCGTATTTTCAAGGCACGGTTAACTTGGCTGCAAAACGACGACAAAACGAAGTGGGCGCAGCACCATGTCGGCCACAGCGGAGCATGACATGCGTTGTACCTCTGCGCGCACGATCCTCGCACAATTTTCCGCTGCTCGCATGATCGTTCGGTGCATGATCCGGTGCGGCTGGGGTCGCAGCAGAAGATGCGTTCTATATTTCTCACTCGAAACATTATTTTAGTTTTCATAAATGGATGATACACATTTTGAGAGAAAGACACGCATGTTTGTTTTTCACAGTAATAAAAATCATGTTTCGCCCCGCCGCGGTGGTCTAGTGGCTAAGGTACTCGGCTGCTGACCCGCAGGTCGCGGGTTCGCATCCCGGCTGCGGCGGCTGCATATCCGATGTAGGCGGAAATGTTGTAGGCCCACGTGATCAGATTTGGGCACACGTTAAAGAACTCCAGGTGGTCTAAATTTCCGCAGCCCTTCACTACGGCATCTCTCATAATCATATGGTGGTTTTGGGACGTTAAACCCCACATATAAATCAACTTCAGCGTATTAGGTTTTACACCTTCAGTGATAGAGTGAAGAACAAGTGAGAAGAGTGTAGAACGAATATCTTTTTGTTATTTGTTCGGACCATAGCTAGCGTATTCGATGCAGTAACGTACCGAAGGTTAGCCGCCAGGTTTCGCGTTCTTTAGCTTTCTGTTGAGTTCCGCGATGTCCAAGTTTTGTACTCGCGTCCTTTTGTACAGACAGTTGTCAGTAGAGTGCTCAAGTTAAAGCAACTTGGGGAGAGTGTATCGTGTTTGCCATAGCAATAATAAGGATATGAAATCGGAACAAAATATGACTACGATGTACCCACAGTGTAGAATCGGTCTGTATCCTGGTGTTTGATAATATTATTTTCCCGAAACTATGTCTCAATACTCCGAATGGCAGCGCTGAATTTTGAATCAAGGTCACTTGAGAGCCACCGATAACAGCAGCGAAAAGCGTGCCCTGCTTAAAAAGGGCAATCAATGGGTTTATCGAGCACCAACAGCCCTCTGTGCCATTGTAGCATCCATTTTAGCAGGGAGGCACCTTAGGGTCTTCGGCGTGTCGGCGTCTAATTTTGTCATACTGTACCATGTATCACCGGTCCATTGTAAACAAGTTTGCGCCACAAAAGTTGGGTAAATCCCAGTACTCGCCACCTATCCACTCAAAATGCAACCTACGACGTTAGTGAAGCTGAGACACACTCCCTTATATGACGTAAAGAACTGAAACTGGGCATGTAGGGAAGACGAAGCAGCAGCTCTTCAGAGCAAGTTGTATTCTGACGCAGTTTTTCCGGTGGAGCTGGAACACTGTTACGCCTGGGAGTGCAGACCGAACATCGTTGCCTCTGCAAAAGCAGTCTGTGTCAAGGCCAGCGAGCGAGCCTGCCTCACGCAATGACCTCAACGACGTCATCTAGCCCGGTGGCGCTGGTCTGTCTTTCGCAACGTACGGCGAGCTCCCTCAACCAGCGGGCCCAATAGCAGCCCGATGAAGTAATCGAGGCCATGCAGTCTGGTGAATTTCACGCGTGGTAACATAACTCGTCCATGGGTGCAACCCAGCGGCCGTTCCTGACGGGAGGAATCTGACATCATGGCCAGCGGTACTTCTGATTGGATGTTGGTGACGTAAGGGCTCACCCGGGGCCTATAAAAAAGCCAAGCGGCACGTCGACATGCAGCCTATGTATGCGTAAGGGAGAAGACATCTCAGCTCTTCGAGGCGCTAAGCTGTCGCCCCCAGTGCCGAATATATAGCACCTCTATTTCTATGCTGTACATAAGCATTGTCTTAACGCGCCGTCGTCCTGTCCTCTGGTCTATCAGCTGTGCGCAGAAGCAGCCGCGAGCTGAGAAACGCGCTACGGAACAACCTTGGCAGCCCGTGAGCTCGGCGCTCTAAGCAACAGTGTCGGCGGCGGTACGAGTCGTAACAACACCCATCCTTACATGCTTAGCCTCTCCCCAGTTTCTACTTGGTTCGATCCTCAAGTTTCTTGACTACAGTATTTCTATCTGTCACGCACCTCCGAGGTCTGTGCCTCGAGAATATGGCATAGCATCGAAGCTGTGACTTTAATGCACCATCGAGCCTCCCTACGAAATATTGGTGTGACTCTCTCCTGATACCTCTGGGATAGCAACATAAAGAAAATATGAGAATGCAGAATGATTACAGCATGATGAAGATGAGGACTGCGCATTATTCACGCAAACGTTCACGCTTCAAAGTAATTGTGCACATTCACGGGCTGCTGCAGTGGTGATGCACAGAGCTGAATGAGCGAGACAATGCCGGAGTTCACGCACTGCGCTATACCGCGATGTCACTTGTCACGGCATATCGAGATGCTCCGTATACACGGCACTCACAAACACGCCTTGAATGAATGCGGCTCTTCAAGTCCATCGAGTTAATAGTAGTAATGCCTTACGCTAAGACACCGTGCTTCATAACCCTGCCCGGCATAGGTAGGCAACGATTTTAGACCTCACTCAGACTCACTCACGAAACATACCTAAGCGTTAGGGCTCACTTGAACTCTCTCACTGGCATTTTCCTCACCCAAGCTTGCTCAAACTCAGTCTCACTGAAATTTTCTTCAAGCGAACTCATACTCAACAAAATATTATTAACACGAACTCAGACTCTGTCCGAGTTTGAGTGAGTCGACTCACGATTACGTTGGTTGTTTTGCGAAAAAGTGCCAATGCTTTTACAGCGAAAGCTGTATATGGCTAGGAGAAACAAAAAAAACATTCAGAATTGGCTGTGCTCTCAGTTACGTCATTCTAAGCGTCATACACAAGCACACGCGCATTGGCTGCGTTGTGAGTGACGTCGTCCATCCCGTCGTAGCTGTGGCGCCCAGATCACGCGCTTAAGCTTCTACTGAGAGCTTTCACATGGCTAAACCACGAACAACTCTAGGTGAGCGCCGACAGTGGAAACGTGAGAAAGCTCGCATTTTCTGGGCTGATGGTGTAGTACGGCCACAAAAACAGGCCCGTAAGGTTGAGCACCGACAGCAACTGCACACCGATTATCCGACCGCCTTCCAAGCCACGCTAAATGGCTAACGGGAGAATGCAAGCGCTGGGGGCGGGCGGATTTTTCAAACCAACTCGCGATGTCAAACACTTCCAATAATGGCACGCCGAACAAGCGGCGTTGCGGGTACAACAGCGCCAACATGATTTTGGGAGCGATCATGTGAGGCACAATGTGCGACATGTGAAACAAACACTGTCCGGAAGCCAAATATCTGTGTAACCTCATTGAGAAGCACAAACATGTAACCAATATTTGTGAGAGGCTTCAGTGCAGTATCGGGTTGAATTCACTGCTAAATACCGGGGCCGCACATTTCAGTTTTCACTGGTTAACCATTTGTGCGGAGTGCTTAGGTGGTGATCTTTTTACCGCCGATATCTCGCGCAATCGGTGCTCTACTTGACGCTTTTGATTTCATATCTGTAAATACGAGCTATCAGGGATTGAAATCCACTAAAGACAGCTTCTGTGATGACTCATATTAGTTGTTTTTGCGAGCCTTCGTTTGAAAGAAAAACCGAGGGGGGGATCAACAAACCTCCCCCCTCTCTATAACTCGCACATCTGTTCAATTTATACTGAGCTGGCGTATGAACACTACTGCATTGATGTGTAAGTAGACATATTTATTATAAACGTGGGCCGACATAAGGGTAATAGTAATACTGAACTATAGTAGATGAGATGATAGGTCAGTGAAACAATGCGTTGCTCTTTGAGACTCACTAAAGAAATATACCTCGCCCGTATGGCTCACTCTGCCTGATTAAAATTTCCTGAACCGGGCTCACTCGTAGTCAGACTCACTGATAATTTTCTCAATCCGACTCGCTCGAAATAAGTCTTTCCAAGAGATTGCTCAACCGCACTATCTCAGGCTCACGGCTTGATCTGAGTGTGGGTGAGTCTGAGTGAGTCGACTCATGCCTCGAGTGAGTTTGCCGGCCTATGCACGGCGGCTTGGTGGCGGACCGAAGAACATGTGTGTGCATGTAGTGTAATTCGTTTCAGTAGAAGCTGTCTCATATAAAGGTCTAAGCATAGTTTAGGAAAAATGACGCCATCAGCTGGCATGTGTGGCTTTCTGCGCCTCTGAAGTTGAGGCAACACTCTCTCAAAAGGAAAGGAACGTTCGAAGAGACTTTTGGTACACTTCATGAGCACTTAAATGCTCGTAAAATCTTAAAGTGTCAATATAGGCCGATATACTGCAAATTCATTTTGTATACAGCATTTGGCTATCGGCCATCTTTCTCGTGCGAATAAAAGTGGAGATATTATCTTTTTTTCCTAACATGGGATGGGACATGTACAACCCTACGCAACAATAGGCGTGGTGTTTACAAAACATCAAACAAGCCGCTGAAAAGTACATTAAAACAGACATTAAACAAGCGCAAAAGTTAATAAAACGAGTGCGCACCACTAGTCATTGGAAAGTGTCATGATGCTGTCTCTCTTTATAGAACATTCAACTGGTTGGCGTTAGCCTAGCCGGGGCTGGAAATAAAGTATATAACTTTATGTACCATAGTATATAAAGTTATCATTCATTGATTGAGTTATTAGCTATACGGAGAATTACGAACAGCAACGACTTGACGTTTAAATGCCCATGTGCAAAATATCATTGTATTACCTTTCTGGAAGAATGCAAGCGCGTTGGAATTTTCGCTGGTGCTGATGCGCTTTGTAGTATTAAAGTACGCATAGGCGTACAGTGCTGGCAACAACTTGCTCGTAGCTTGCTCTCCACAGTCAGACGGCAAGATTACAGCCTCTTCTGGATGTTTGACAACAGTTTCCAATGTTGCGCCTACTCCATCTCCTGCGCAGGATAGAAGAATCACAGCAAATCGTCGTTTTTCTGAACACCACTTAGGTGACTCTATGCTGTGAAGTTAATTATTGTTATTGTGAATTAAGTACTAAATATACCATAAACACATTACGGCGGTAGATATTACCCTTTAAATCACTATATTAACTGTCTAGCCACAACCCGTTCCGCATGATTTTTTTTTTCGCCAGGAAAGAAAAAGCCGCACTAAAACAGAAAATCTAAAAAAACAACCTGAATATAACCTATTACAGAGTACAAGCTTGATTTTAAAAGAGCTTCAAAAGAATGTACCGAATCGGAAGCTGCCCAACCCAACCCATTGGTTAGTACAACATTTTGTGGAATGAGATCAGTATAGCGACATTTCAGCCTTCATATTCGACATACCTATTTTGTATTGTGACGTTAAGATCACAGATAAAGATGAAGAAATTATTTGGGAAGACTTGTAAGTAATTCCAGATATTTGATGCCACATATTTTATTACAGATATAAAAGACTATAAAGTGACAATTTGCGCCTTCAAGCTACACGTAAGAAGCCCCGCCGCAGCGGTCTAGTGGCTAAGGTACTCGGCTGCTGATCCGCAGGTCACGGGTTCAAATCCCGGCTGCGGCGGCTGCATTTCCGATGGAGGCGGAAATGTCGTAGGCCCGTGTGCTTAGATTTGCGTGCACGTTAAAGAACCCCAGGAGGTCGAAATATCCGGAGCACTCCACTACAGCGTCTCTCATAATCATATGGTGGATTTGGGACGATTTACGTGTAGCTTGATGGACAAATCAATCAAGCTACACGTAAGAAACAGCCAATGGTGAGACGCATTGCACATTTTACTTCATTGTTTTGCGTGTATTGTAGAAGAATAAACCTTAATGTAGTTCTGAAGAAATGGAATGGTGAAATTCTGCGTTTATATTGGTGTTGCAGTGTTGAATTACAGCGATTATAGAGACAATTGCATTGTCTTCCGTTCCGATGGAAATGAAAATATTGTAGACCCGTGTGCTCAGATTCGGGTGCACGTTAAAAAACCGCAGGTGGTAGAAACTTCCGGAGACCTCCACTACGGCATCTTTCGTAACCATATGGTGCTTTTGGGGCGTAAACCCCACATATCATCATAAATGTCTTCCGTTGTATTTCATTACAAAACGTGGACGCGTACTTACCTACAATATCGATTTGGCAGTGCTCTGTGTTTGGAAAAATAAGATGCGGACGTGGCCATGTTATGTCAATCACTTGGGTGCCGTCAGAGTTATAGATCGCTGAAAGCAGATGACACTGAATGAGCGTAATGTCAGCAAAGTCTAGTGTACTAATTCTACAGTGTCCCGACTGCTGGATAGCAAGGCAACACCTATATGCATGATTTCGACTTCATTTTTCTGTTTTACATGATTTAACATTGGCGCAACAAAGTTCAGGAAAAGAGAGAACATTGTGCCCATTAACAACATGTTGTCATGATATGGTATCAGTCTGCAATCTTTCCTAAAGAGAATAAATATAATTATTTTATTCAATCACCTGTATAGGAGTCATGAACGTCTTGCTGTCTTCGCCCTTGTGAGTTCTGGGGATTCAAGATAACAGCGAATGACCTTGTCTTCGTAATACCAGGTGGCTGCGCGGATAAACAGTACAAAGCCTATGAGATCAACGAAAATTGATTTATTTCGCATTAACTACAATAATTTGGTTGTGCCTTCTGGTAGATTATTCAGATTGTACGATGAGAAATTTAATGATTTATATGAGTGACAAAGAACGAATTGAGCCTGTATGTGGCATGCGATGCAAATATGTGCTTTAAAAGAAAGAAAAGATGAGTTTTTAAGGTTGAGCACTGAAGCACACATCGCAAGCAGGAGGAACGCGAAACAAGGCAAACACGCTACAAAAAGTGTGCAAGTGCGGGAATAGTTCTTCAAAGTGATTCGACTGCCAATTTCAAATGTTGCTTGAGTATTGAACGTTCAGTAATGCGATGCCTTGTCGCTATACTATAAAAAAATGTGTGCCTCTTGTTAATGATGGCAGAAGGCTTTCATTAATCCAGTGCACGTTGTAAAGGATATATTTAACAATGGAATGAAAACTAAGTGATTCAGTCTAAGTCTCAGCGAGCGATTTCTCCGACGCTTTTTCTTTGAAACGAGTGGTGGTGGTTGTGATGGTCATGATGTTGCCGAAGGCGTGGTAAGTCTGGCAGACCTGGCCGGCAATTGCTCCATCTTAGCGACTCTTTCCATGTAGTTCGGCTCACCATACATCGCCTAATCCTGTCTCTCGTACAAAAAACAAAAAAACGTACGAGTGTGTTAGTCACTTGCGTTCGCATCAGCCGCATGCCTGCCGGAAACACAATGTCTTCCCATAATCTGTCTGTTTCCCAATTATGGGAAATCTCGAAGCGCATGACATCATGGTGCGGCCAGCGTTGCAGTCGCGCGCCGGCAACAGCGCGCGCGTGCGCAGACACTCGAGGAGCGTACTGTTCAACCATGCCATCTGCTACGGTGACACATAACTACAGTGCTGGCCGCACCACAAGTCATGCGCTCCGAGATTTCTAAGTGTGAAACAGACCATACATTCATTCCTCTTACTTTAGGTGAATCTTATCTCGATTTTTATTTCATTGAACTTATTGCCAATATTTAGAGCATCAAAACCAGCATAAACCAAAAGACCTCACTGTTGGAATTAGTAGTAGTCGCCGAGGTCAAACTTGTTACATCGTGCAACGTGACCGTGTACAAATATGATACAACAATTTTTGTTGGAGTGTAATTCAAGTGATTTTTGTTGCAGACAGGAAGCCGCATCAGTGAGGAATCGCAGTGAAAAAAAAAGTCACCACACTAAGTAGCTGCGAAGGTCTCTAAAAACAAGGTGTACAGACCACACTGTAGAGGTTTGATGGGCAACATTTTTGGTCGGCCATTTTTAATGGAGTTGTGTGCTTGCATATATATGCATTGCTAGATTGGTCCCTGCAGTTCCTTGTGTCAAGTTCATATGATCCTTATGGTCTGGTGTTGATTGAATGATTGATTGATTGATATGTGGGGTTTCATGTCTCAAAAGGCTTGGTGTTGAGGCGCCGAATGGTCTCAACGTGTGTTAGAGATTTTGTGCGAGTATAATGCCGAAATCTTCGTTTGCTGGCTCTTGCTGATAATGCATGATATGTCGTGTGTATAGTTACTGACTTTTCGCGAATACGCCAAATATAATGGACAAGTATTACGAAGGAGCGAAATATGCGAAAACCGGCGAATATGTACCGAGGAATCCTTTTTCAAAACAGACTTTCACTCGTAAAAAAGGTGCTGTCATAATTAAAAGAAGCGCGCCTCTGCTGCTTCCGTCAGAATTTTCCTCCTTAGCATTACGAGCAATCTTTATGAATCAGTGCGACGCTGTTTATTTAATTGAAGCAACAGATTGAGCACGAAGCCAATGGTTGCGTCTAACCCGCAGTGGGTACCCATCCTCTCACCCGGACATTCAGCTCCACCTTGACTGCGTCACTTTCCCCGTGTCTGCTGGACGCTCGGACGTGGATGTGTCTCACTCCAGCGGAAAGAGGCACCACAGGAAATATGGCTGTACGACCGCGCCCAGGCGGAATGCTGAGCTTTTGAACCGCGGAAGGCTTGCCTAGCGTGGCACCAGAGCAGATGTCATTGGTTCCTAGTAGCACCACCCGTGCCTGAAATAGCAGTAAAGAGAAGGCCCAGCTTAAATTTTTCCTCTGAGGAGGTCCCAGAAATAGATAGATAGATAGATAGATAGATAGATAGATAGATAGATAGATAGATAGATAGATAGATAGATAGATAGATAGATAGATAGATAGATAGATAGATAGATAGATAGATAGATAGATAGATAGATAGATAGATAGATAGATAGATAGATAGATAGATAGATAGATAGATAGATAGATAGATAGATAGATAGATAGATAGATAGATAGATAGAGATAAGATGAAACCATGAAGTTTAACGAGACAGTGAAACCCGGTATGCTATACCCTGCACTGGGGTGATGAAAGGGATAGGGAAAAGGCTTTATGTAGCCACTGTGGTAGTCAGACCTTGAGGAAAAAATGCACATTCAACAAAACGTTTTAATAATATCTGAGGTTTAACGTGCCAGCACCATGATATGAACATGAGGCACGCCGCAGTGGAGGGTTCCGGAAATTTCGACCATCTGGTGTTCTTCCCGTGCACTAACACCACACAGCATACGGGCCTCCAGCCTTTAGCCACGATGAAAATGCGACTGCCATGGCTGTGGTCGAGGCCGTGAGCTTCGGGTCAGCAGGCGACCACTCTAACCACTACACCACTGCGGCGGACAAACACAATGACTTTGCGAGTAAGGCGTGCTATAAGCAAGAGATTTTGAACGCTTTAAGGTCAAAAAGCTCGTTTCGCAGAAATTATGAAGTTGGTGCCGCTGTCGAAGCCGGTGTCACTGGTTGTAAGCGAAAAATAATGCTGTCTTTGACTGAAATATTGAGAAAGAGGCAGCTAAACCAAATAATCAGACTATTCGGTTCGAGTGCGAATCAGAGCCAGGAATGCGTGGCAAGGAGGTGTTCATTAACAAAACCACGGGTGTCGGGACTGCTTGGAAAGGCTTTGGCAAAAAAAAAACGCTCTATGAGTGTCGTGTACAGTGAGGAGTCTCTTTAATGACTGTAAGACTGCGTGGCAAAAGCGCAGAATCGCACCAGGCGTCAAAGCCCGGGATTTGTAGAGAAGGGGTGTTTTAAAGGCCTGCCCATTACAAAGCCCTCCAACGTATTTAATCATGGTCATCGTGATCATAAGAATGAACAAAGGCAGAGAGACAGAGACTAAACAATAATTTCTTGGCATTGTTGGGGTCATGAACAAAACGAGAAGCAGCGTCGGTTCGCGTGCTGCCACACTGACGCGCAGTGGGCCCTTTGCGTGACTTGCAAAAGCAGGAATTATGTTGTAGTGGGCGCTTAACAACTGTACTTGCAGTGGGCATTCTAGAGTAGTTTGAAATGACCGGTGTTGCTAGCGTTTATGGGAGGTGATCTTGATGAGTAACTCAGGAGACGAATTACACCTCATGATTGCTCAATTGGACACGGAAAGCAGAAGAGTAGGTCTAAAAATTATTACGCACAAAACAAATGTGCAACAGTGTAGGCAGAAAAGAGCACTTTGCAATAGGTGGAGAGACGCTGGAAGTTGTGAAGGAATATGTCTACTTGAGACAGGAAGTAACCACGGAGCCGAACTATGAGAACAAGAATGGAGTGGATCACATTCGGCAAGCATTCTCGAATCTTGAATGGTGACCTGCCAGTAACCCTCAAGAAAAAGGTATATAACAGCTGTATCTTGCCAGTATTTATCTATGGAGCAGAAACCTGGAGGCTTACAAAGAGGGTTCAGCTCAAATTGAGGGTGATGCAGCGACCGATGGAAAGTAAAATAATAGGTGTAACCTTCAGTAACAGGAAGAAAGCAGAGTGGGTCAGGGAACAACCCAGGGTTAAGGATATCTTAGTTGAAATCAAGGAAGAGAAATGAACATGGGCCGGGCACGTAGCATGTATAGGCAGGATAACGGCCAGCAATCAAGAATAACAGACTGAGTTCCCAGAGAAGGCAAACGCACGAAGGTCAGACAGAAAGTTAGGTGGGCCGATGAGATTAAAAAGTTTGCGGGTATAACGTGGCATCAGAAAGCACAAGTCCGGGTTGATTGGTGGTGGTCGAAATTTACGGAGCCCTCCACTACAGCGTCTCTCATAATCATATGGTGGTTTTGGGACGTTAAACCCCACATATCAATCAATCGGGTTGATTGGCGGATCATGAGGGAGGCCTTTGCCCTGCAGTGGGTGCAGTAAGGCTGATGATGATGGTGCTGTGTTACAAGTATATTCTTTGCGGCATGGTCGAGGCACGCAACGCGAACCGAAGTTATAAGCTAGCAATAGAGAAGGCGATGCGCTTTGGGCTCGATTGCGCTATTTAGTTCTACTCTTGATCGCAGAGCTGAAGTGTCTTTCAAGACAGCTTTTTTCTCTATAGTATTATAGACAACATAAAATAAAAATGAATACTTTTTCGTCGAATTCGTCATTTTGCCTTCCACAATTGGTCGAAATTATTCCGGCCATGTCCACTGCACCTGTCTGTCACGAACTGTAACAAAAACGCTGCATCTCTACAGTACGTGTACCGAATACTTATGCCAAAATAGGTAGAACAAAAGAGAATAAAACTTTTGCGAGTCTGCCCTGTATATTGAAGAAAATATTTCAGGTCAATCTGTTTCTCATGTGATGTCACAAATGTGCGATAACTAACCAGTTCAAAACGACCTGCACACACTAAACAGCGCATTAAATGGCCATTTAACCACCCCATGTTCAAATACGAGGAGTTGGTTTTCTCCTCTTCTTCGCTACTCTTCCCACATGCGATGCAACCGCCTCACTCCTTAGTTTTTCAAAGTACGTGAAGCGAGCACTAAGCGCTAGACATATCAGGATTTCGTGCTTCTCGGTTACACGCTGTCATCGCCCTTTGCGCAGTTGTGAACACAAAAAATGATGTGTGATCGGTTGATCGTGCACAATATTCATGCGAAACAAGGAAGAACGGATGCACGGCTGCACGTCGAAGCAGTTCAGCAGACATATTTCGCGCATATGGACCAATCTAGAGCATGTACACTATCAACGTCATGAAAACTACTGTCTGCGTCACAACCTGCGATACAGTAGTGGTGCAGGCTCCTCTCACAATCTGTCTGCGTCACAGAAGTGTGCAAGAAGGACAAGAAATATCAGGAGAGAACATTGCGCTCGTTTTTTTTTTATATTATAGGAGCCTATTGAGTGGTCCTTTAACACGCAAAACAATACTGAATCATTTTCTGCATAGCCGGAGAGACCTACGTTCTGAGCGGAATTTAATACGGCTTCCCAGCGATCGCTAAGGTGATAGTCACTCACATATGCCATCGAGGGTGAATTCACGTGCGTCTTGTTGATATTTTATGTGGCAGTATAAGCAGTAAAAAGCTGTCTAATCTCTCCAGCACGTAAACAAAATCACTCTGCCAACTATTACTTGATGCGAATGCTTTTTATTCAACCAGTTGCCAGTTGCAGAAATTTTAAACGAGCACGATAAGCAAGGGGAGGGGTATTAATCAAACGATTTTTCGCAACCGCCTCCTCACCGACTTGTTCGCTTTCGTTTCACGAACAAGCCGGCATTCGCGTGTCTTCTGCGCGCTATGTGATCTCGTCACGCAGTCAGATAAGGAGAAACGGATGATTTGATTGATATGTGAGGTTTAACGTCCCAAAACCACCGTACGATCATGACTCATAAGAAACGCCGTAGTGGAGGGCTTTGGAAATTTAGACCTCTTGGGGTTCTTTAACGTGCACCTAAATATAAGCTTACGGGCCTACAGCATTTCCGCCTCCATCGGAAATGCAGCCCCCGCAGCAAGGATTCGATGCCGCGACCTGCGGGTCAGCAGCCGAGTACCTTAGCCAGTAGACCACAGCGGCGGGGCAGGTAAGGAGAACCTGCCTGAGTGGGCAGTGCTAATAATTCTCTCACCAAACAAAGAAACAAAAAATGTTCTTCGTACAGGGAGAGCCTATAGACGAGAGCACGTCTATCTCCAACCCAGGCGCCTTCGGCGGTATACCCTCGCTCCCAGAGACAGCATAATTTGTTTGCAACTGCCAAGGCGCGCCTCGATATCATGGAATGCAGTGGCTCTGGGAGTTTAAAATGCGAAAAAGCGCCCGTTCACGCTGCGCCTGCTTATAAAGTGTCTTCTAGGAACCACTGCGCTGTCATTTGATGCTACAACAACCAGCGCAACACGAAGAGATTGCTGAGCACTGCCTTGTGAAGTTCACAGCACATCGCGGGAATCGTGCCGGTGTGGTGTTTTGCGATTGCACAGATTCCCGTCCACAACGAAAAACGCCGAGCTCCACCGCCTTAGGATATAATCGCAACCAGCAGGAAAAACTACGAGCCCTGTGAAGTGTACCAGTAAGTGAACTTATTGTGTTTATTCAAGCGTGACTCCAGCTGTTTCACTTTACAGCAGGGATTTGCGTGCAGTATGCCTGTAGTATGCGGCACAAAACTAATGCCGTACTCTTTTGCAGGCCGCATGTCAATAATAGGATATACGTATTACGACCCACGCGTGAATGCACGCACCACGCATGTTTAGTACAACTCTAACGGCTTATATATATATATATATATATATATATATATATATATATATATATATATATATATATGACGTATGATGCGATGGTTGGTAGAGGCCGAGAAGGAAGAAGTGCTATGGAATAAACATGGCGTATGAGCCAGGCCACGTCTCTCATTCATCGTAGCGTCACACGAGTCGACAGGATGGAGACCTGCCTGCCCCTTCATCAGTCACTCATCATCGACGCAGTTCCACAGAAGACGCCCTGACCATACATTGACTACGGAATCATCTCCTGGCCGCACACAGCGACCATCACCATGACAGCATCATCGACTGACCTTCCCATCTTCAAGTACACTGGAGCAGCGGACGATGGACCTGTACAGGACTGGTTCAACCTGTTCGAACTCCACGCTACTGCTGCATCTTGGTCAGAACGGGAGATGGTT